ATGGTGACTGGGCAAAAGGGAAGAGCTATGAGCAGCGGTTACGAGATCTAAATCTCTTTTCGCTGGAGCGTAGACGAATGAGGGGAGATCTGATAGAGACTTTTAAAATTGTAAGAGGTCTATCGGGACTCAACCTAGATGACTTGTTTACGATTCCTCGTGCTCAAAACACGAGGGGTCATAACTATAAACTTCAACAGGACCACGCCAGGCTAGAAGTACGGTCCAACTTCTTCGCACACAGGGTCATACCAATGTGGGACAAGTTACCTGCAGAAGTGGTCAACTGCGCCAATGTTAACACCTTCAAGGTGGCACTGGACGCATGTTGGTCAGCAGCGTTCCCCTAAGTTAGTATTTAGACTTGGAACATAAAGAGTAACTTCTACTTTAGCCAGACGTTTTTGAATGGATATAAACTTGGGCTTGATTGTTGAAATTATTCTAAAACTGACTATCCTGTCAGATGTGAGGTGTGTATACTAACGCATGTGTACTTGATGTCTCTAATCAGTGAGGCTAGAAGATATCTTTGCTTGTTTTCCTCCCTTTCAGCATACCACCAAGGACACAACGTTCTGGATACAGGTTTAAAGTAAGAGGATCACAAATACCCAGTCAACTGTACGCAGTGTCAGAAGCTACTCCTATCCGTTGACAACATAACAAACTGAACGCTCGATTGGCAAGAGCCATATTCGTTCTTCTCAAACTGAACTGAACTGGGCATTGCGGTATTTTAGCGCGCGGTTTACATTTCCACTGTGCTCTATCTCGTTCACACTTTTGTTCGGTACTAGTGAAATATCAGTAAATATTTCACTCAAATAACTCTTAAAGTAGTTTTACGTTTAACAATGTCGTTCGTGATCTGTCAAAGATCACAAACCTTTTACTAGGCAATTTTTCTGCGTGCACTTTGGTGCTTCGTAGGCCTAAAGTATTTTATTTTTGAGATTGGTAAAGCGTATTTTTCACTTTTTTGGTATTATCTGTGTCTACTTTTTCAGAGTTAGACAACTGTGTATTCAGAAATTTTTTGATTAACTTGGAATGGCACAATCGAAAGGTTCCAACGCGTGTGGGGCCAACTGTTGTGCAGAGTAGGTCGCCGACGGAATTCAGTGCGACAGCTGTGGAGTGTGGTACCACCAGCGATGCTCTCAAATGAGCAAAAAGGAGTATGAGCCCCACGTGAAGCACAAGTCCTTTAAATGGGTGTGCAAACACTGTGCAACACTAGCTGAGAAGTTCAGGAGAATCCTGAAGGCATCACTGGCTCCCCTGAATGACGATAGCAAAGAGAAACCGGAAGGGATTACTTTTGCGTCATCCTTAAATAAAAGTACAGAAATAAGAAAATCAGGAAACCAAAACAAGGAACTTGGAAAACAGACTATGAGGCATTTACAGGCTGAGAATTCTGTGGTCAAACCTGAGGGACAGCCGAACTACCAAGAAATGGTAAAACGGATCGAGCAGTTAGAGAGAGAACTTAAGCTGCTGAAAAAGAGCAGCGACGTGTCGCTGGGAAGAACTCAGAACTTGCTCCTGCATAATTGCGCGGATCCAGTTATTAACATGGCGAAGCCGAGGCGAGAAGCTGAGCATCGCCATGTGCAAAATATTTTTAGGCTGGCAGGGTTGCTTCCCAACACCCTACACATCAAGTGCCACAGAATTAGCCTGTGGAAAGGGGAAACTCACGTGGTCAAAGGCCTCTCTTAGTGGTGTTTCCAAACACTAACATAAGAGATCTGCTACTATCACGAGCTTCATGGATCGAGGATATTACTCAGGGGCGTATAATAATCACCCCGATGGACCGATCTGAGTGATACACCCAGTTAGAATGGGGAACAATGTAAGAGGCCACTAAACTAAAGACGTAGTTCCTTGCGTACCAAGGACTGGAGAGCCTTTGAGCGGATCCACACCGAAGTTACCAAAGAATGTACCGCATGTAGGAAAGGGCCAACCATAGAGGGCTAAATAGGGCAATGCCGTGGTCCGCAAGGTAAGGTCAAACCCGCCACGAACACAGGACAGAGCACCGCAACCAAAGAACTCGGTTGCAGCTACCAGTCCGGTGAAGGAAACCACGGAGAGCTGTGAGGAACCAGCCACATGGGCGACAATAGTAGCGGAATCCCCAGCTCTCCTATTACAACGGAGATTAAATACTCCAAAAATGAAGGAGGATGTACCTATGGGGGTAGAGAGGGCTTTTGGAATGACGATAAAAGGCAAACTGAACTGAACGTTTTCAAGGTCGTTCGGAAATGTTTGTTATTCTGGTACTGTTTTTTTATTTTAATTGCCATTATTGTGTGTTCCTGTCAATATCGGATACATAGCGTCACTTTTTATTACACCTACAAACTGAAAATCGCCATACATTACGTTTCGTTAATAGTTATCGTGTATCATTAATTCGCTGTCTTACCCTACTCATTTTGCAGTATTCCGACTCTCCCTGTGAAACTAATTGATAATCTATCAATTTAAAATACGTATAATGCCTATTCTTAAGCGTTGTTCTACTCAGACTACAAATAAACGCATGACAGCTAACACGAATCGTTCTGCTGGACAAATGAGATATAAACGTGACCAACCTGATTCAACCCTAAAACCGTTCTCGGTCACTATAACCAACTTATTTGGCAGGGCTAAAATGAAAGCCGATACCTTTGATCTTAAGTTGCAGGAGATGGATTCTCAATTGTCATCCCTAAGGGACCTCATTGCTAAACTCACGCCTATAACTCACATTATGGAACCATCTATGTGTCCAGACAAACCTAGTTTACTTAGAGCCGGCATGTTCATTGACACTATTGCGGCTGAAATTCTCAGACGTGAAAAAAATTCATATAATGCTGTTTTTTCTAACATACCCGAACGGTTGCCTATCACAACTGTCAAAAATAATATTCTCAAGGCCTGCAAAATGGCGCACCAAGTCTGCTTCTGCACCCGGTTGCGCAAGAATACTGAGCACTACCGCTGTCCGCTTTTATTCCAATTTTCCGACAAAATGGTTGCTTCTAAGTTCGTGTCTCAGCAACTGATTATCTCGAATAACTCCCCTTACAAGCAAATTAAAATCTTTCCCGATAGAACCCAATTGCAGAGGGAGATTGCTAGATCCGTGAAAAATAATCCACCATGTCTTAACGGCCCAATCCATCTCTCCCCTTTATCGGGCAGGCCAAATCACCCAACGCTCCCGGAGGATCCACCCCGCCTGCAAATATACCCAAATTTGCCGTCGGTGGACCTTGATAAGACTGTCTCCTCGACTCCACAGCAACCCCCCTGTAAACGCCCACATTTGGATTTAGCCACCCCCTTGTCGGTAAGCTCATTAGGGCGAACGACGAATTCTCTTGACTTAGTCCCTGTCCATCTCGCCTCGCCGACTAGGACAGCCGCCCTTTCTCATGCTTAGCTCTCCCCCAACCTCTCTCCTACCTCATCTCCTAAACCACCTTCTCGATATGCCGCCTCGTTTATCAATCGTCCAAATATACTAGCTATNAAACAAAACCTTTCATTAGCGGGATTCCCACCCCACCATCAACAAACATCCTCACCTTAAGGCCATTGCATACCGCGAATCCTGAACCAATCGGCTTAATACCTCCTATCTACCCCTCTGCCCCGTCTCTTTTCATAAC